TACAATATTACGGAAGATGTCTTAATCGCCCACCATTTTTCCATAATAACTCACACTTCGCTTTTATATTACAGATTACTACATATGACAAAACAAGATCGTAACGCGCAAGTTTGAGGTTTCCGTGCCATGGGGAATACGACCACTCATTTCAAGGAAGGAGTCCTGTAAATTTCTGAATTTTTTTATTATTATATCAGTATTTAAATAGTTCTAAAACATACTCATTGCATGTCCTGTATAAAAAAGTTTAGATAAAAAAATCACAGATCTTAAAACATCTTAAAATAAAACGTAAAACAGAAAAAACGAACGAAATTCCACTCACCTGGGGGCACATTTTACATTGGTATTTTCGACCTGTTCCATTGGTGGCAGAGCTGCTAGTGTTTATAGAGCCAGGATTTTTGGAGATCGCATTGATTGGTTGTGGTACAACCAGCATGGAACCACTAGAGCTGGGACTGGATACTGGTGGGCTACCACCGTTTCCATGATTACCATACATACTGTGCATCTGTGGGGATTCCATCGGGGGTGACCGCCCTTCATCCAATGTGGTACCTGGGCCTGAGAGGAAAAAAAAGTTATCTATTTAAAATACTTCAGGGATTAAAATCCAATCCATTTTGCAAACACAGGGACGTTAAAGATAAGTACTATCAAACTGCTTTTTATTATGGTGTGCAATAAGAGTTACCTAAACAAGGGAAGTAAATGAATATGCTATGTGATGTCATTGCATTTTTTTCTGAAGACAGTGTGAATACTATTAATATTTTGCGAAGTATAATTTCCCCTTGTCTGAATCTCCTGTTGTGGTCTACTTTCTTCCGAGCAGACTACACATAGTCTTAATAAAGTCTCCTTTCGAATATTGTCAACGTTCTCTGGGGAGTATGGAGGTCTAAAAAGCTGCGAACTGTTTTCAAAATATTTGAATTTGTACCCCCTCCCCTATTAAAAAATACACCATCTACAATGTTTAATAATAAACTCCTCTCGCGCAAGTCCAGCTAAGTTATAATGCTATCTAGAGTCTAGACCTAAAACTCAGAAGTAAAATTACTAAGCATTTAGTTGCCATTGCATGACAGGTATTTTTAGGACAGGTAAATGCCAAAGAAAAATAATATTAGAATACAAAAGCATTTTATTTTTATTTTTTTAATTAGACATATTTACCAAGATTAGTTCGGATTTCTTACTTTTAGGTTTCTTGATATATTATTACTAGAGTGACAGCTAGGCCTAAAGAAAGTGGCAACATTAGGCCTAGCAATGCAGATAATTTTCACATTTTATATTTTTCAATTTTCCTTGATAATTACTTTAACAAATAGGTATACTACAAATTGGTAAATTTAAATATTTAATATATAATATAGATCATATTATATATTATAATACAATAAAAACATTTAATGTATAATATATATATATAATATTGTATAACATAACACATAAAGTAGAAAAGGCAGCAATTTTGGCTTGATAAATTTCCTTTGACATTTATAAAGCAAAAAAGAGCAGATACTACTTAAATCAAATTGAACTGAGCATTATTACTAAACCTTGGGGAGATTATTGAAGGAAGGAGACCCTGTGTTTTGGCCGATTATAAACTTTTCTATCGTGTAAATCAAATCAAATTAAACCGAATCGAAGATTTTAACATAGTATTTCATTGGTTATAAGGCCTACAGTTGAAAGAATGCAACATTTGTAACTGAATAATTTTCGTTCTCTTAGTCCCCCCCCCCACCGCCTTCCAAAAAAAATTAATTAAAGGTTTCCGAGGTATTGATTTACACAATATTTCGATATCATATTCCCATATATATTGTCCTTACTTATC